TTGTTTCCCCCTCACACAAACACACATGATAATAATAATGCCCATAATATTATGAATATTGGTTGAGGGGGTGGGGATGGAAAGCGAAATATGATACGATACTTTAAGCTGCAAAACATTGTCTTTTATGTGGTTACATAACCCGAACGATGACAAAGCCAGTTGAAAGTTGGCATCGCCATTGATCCATGTTGACAATTTTTGGCGGGTCGCGAAAAATAAATAAATATGCCAAGTTATTCCGCATACTTTTACACTCGACTGCTCATCGCATCGTGTGTGGCCCGTCCCAGGAGGAGGAGGACGAGAAGGAGGCTTTGGGAGGCAGGAACAAGGATTGTGTTTTGGTTCGCCCGATGCCGTGGCTCAAACAGTTTATTTTTATTGCCGGGCGACGCGACTCCCCGCCATATCGATGCCGTCTGACAAAGGCAAATGCCACCATTTGTCATTTGGACAACGAGCTGACAACAGTTCAGTGCCACTTGCCACATCTGCCACAGAGACAGAGTAGCAGAAATTCCAGTTGCAGGCACTTCAAAATATTTACTTTTGGTTGAGATTATTGGATAATAAATAAGCAGAGGTTTAGTGTATTACTGAGGCTTGCATAAATTATGTTTGCGTGTAACTACATTTATCAGTATTTATAAAGCTTAAACAGCCCATTAAAACGTTTAAAAATAATTTTAAATATTTTATTTTCCCATTTAAGCTTCACAAAACATTAACAAGACTTTGTCAATTTCTAAATGAATTTTCTTAAACAAATACACTTCTTTTATTCATGTTACCCCTTCAAAAAAATAAACCCCCAACACTCTCTCCGAAAATGGGAAAAACCCCTTCCAATTTTTTTTGCGTAATGGGCACAAAGTGCTTTTAATTAAGCATCGATATGTGCTTAAATATGAAAAGGCCTTACATATTTAATTAAAAGGAAATTGTATCCTGTTTGCATCTACAAAGGGACTTTGTCCTTGTTTTTTTTTTTTTAATTGCGCATTTCATGCATTTTAATGCGACTGCCCACATAAAAGACAGTCAGTACCCCCAAAACCCAAAAAGGAAATCGTAATGAGCTCAAAACCGAAAAAAAGGAAAATTACGCAAACCAAAAAAATAATATATAAATGAGAACAAATTAAAAGCAAGGCAAACACATAAATTATACATGGCTTCAACGCGGAAAGCATCACATTGATATGGAAATAAACTCGGGGCCGCTAATCAAATGTAAGCACATTTAATGTTAAAATAAACAGAAATGAGTTGATCCAGCGCAAATAGGAAAATGTAATGAAAAGAGCTAAGAGCTGAAAGCTGAAAGCCCCAAAAAAGACCAAAAGCTGGCTCAGGCCCGACATCTGCCTCGATTTTCCCTTTTGATTAAGTCCCGCATAAATATTTATGTGCAGCAGCAGCAAATATGCTCATTCATGACAGACAAAGTGGTATTTAATTGAGAAGTAAAATATATGAAGCACGTGGCGGTAAATGAAATAAGAATTCCGGAAGGAAGGCAGGTTATCAAGGGTGAGGAAAGAGGTTTTAGCCAGAATTATGTTTTGAGTTGAGTTGGTTTAATTTAATTTAGCTGAGCAGGAAATACACAAAGCAGACATTCTATATAAAATATTTGTACAAAAAGTATTACAATTAATAATTAAAGGAATAAACACTACAGAAAATGATATAATAATAATAAATAATTACTCATGTACAAGTGTAAGAACTAAGGATACAACACAACACAAACAAACCAATAATGTTCCCTCTATAAAAATGCAACTTAAGCTAAGCTCGCAATTTCCCTAATTAATAAAGCTGTGCTTTTATTATTTCACTTCCCACTGCTTATAGTATCATGCTTATTTTTAATCATAAATCCCCCAAAATAAACCCCTTTATCCAATGACCATAAAAAAGCAAACATAAACTTCAATCTGAAAGCAAACACATGCGTTATGCGATGCTACTGTGCGCGCGGAGATGCCACTTGAAACAAACAGAAAAAGAAAACATAAATTTCGTTATTGAGTTAGCAGAGCCACTCACACCACCACCACCACCACCACCCGCACCACACAAAGAACTGAAACAAAACAAAAAATTCGAACCACGAGAGCCACTTTCAGACTCGACAAACAAAACAAAGTCACCGAAAGAAGACTGCGAATTTGTGTGTGTTTTTGTGGGGATTTTCAGGCATCGTCGTTTTATTCCTTCTGAAGTGGCACGAAAAATACAGAAAAGAAAAGAAAAACTTCGAGTTTATGTCTGCCACTGTGGGGCATAATTCCCTTTAAAGACTTTAACGCTTTTTTAATAATTTTTATTGTCAAGAAATTCACTTAGGCATTATTCGCGTTTTGAGAAGTTTTAAGTGCCGACATCGCGGGACTTCTTTCTCCAAAGTTTATGTGCGTCTTAGTTTAATTTCTTATTTTGTTTCCGCAAAAGTTTCATAAAAAAACGGTTTGCTGTTTAAAGGTTTGTCTTGAATTACTGATTATTGTTACATCTGAATAAGTGGCAACATAATTCCATTAAACCCAGATGCAACGAAAAATATTGACTTTTTAGCCAATCAATAAACATTAACTTCAAGGGCACTTTAGTGCTTTTTCAAATTAATCCCATTGTTGGCCAATATTGTTGGGCCAATGTATACAAATAAATTTTTTTAAGCCGCATTTATGCGTTGGCTTTTATTTAATTTGCATTCATACCCGGCCATTTGCATAGGTCAGCGTTGAATATAAAAATAAATGCGCGCTGTAAATGTGCGCTGTAAAATCAACAAGCTGGGAAATAAACTGAAGCTGAAACTGAAGCTGGGCTGGGAATTGAATTGTCACAGCTGCAATTTTTCAAATGTCAAATCAAAACAGAAAACCAATTACTTTCAATGATTAATTACCGCACTCGAAGGCGCTGTGCCTAGCCAACAAATGTTGAAGACCGCAGAATGATTTTGATTGCGACCGGGTTGGGTTTTGATTTATGATCCGATCAACCCTTTGCTGACAAGTCCCCGATGTGTTGGGCCACCCTGCCTCATCCCTCAGCCATCGGCATCTCCGCAGGATATTTCCGTGAACTTGCGCTCCTTCTCAACATGGAAATCACCTTAAAATTCATAAGTTTGCGGGCGCCGAAGTAGGCAGAAACCGCAAGTAAAACAGCAGCTGCATGTCATTAACTATATGGAAGGTGGCGGTGGCGGCGTCGTCGTAATCCTCTCCACTTGACGCACAACACGGCGTATACGTAATGCCACCAACACGGCGTATACGCAACGCGACCAACTTTTCAACGCTTCATTTTTCGAACATTTAGGAGCCACACTTTTGGGAGAGTGCGGCGTGACACCTCTTTATCCTAACTCGGTTTTGCTTTCCACACACACATCCCCACTCAACTTGTCTCTTTCAACATTATTATTTTTGTTTTTTATATTTTTTCTATTTTGGCTGTCGTCAAAGCTGCGGATTATGCGCACAGAAAATGAGAGTTTATGTATGAAATTATGCAAAACAGGCCGGCAGACGATAATCATGATGGTTAGAAATCCTGCGGCTGATGACTCCTTAACCCGCCAAGGTCCTGTCCGCTTTTGTTCCATTATAAATGCAAGTTGAGCGATTATGATGATGATTAGATGAAAAGTGAAATTTTCTGTATGCCTGCATGGAAATTTCATATTTTAATTACAATTTGCTTTGGCCGGCAGTGACCCAAATATATATATTATATTTGTACGAGTATTAGAGTGTCATGTAGGAAGAAAGGGTTCTTTCAACCTTTTTTCTTTCGTTTTGTTTCGAATCCTCAGCTGCATGCCTGGCTGCATAATTATGTTGCCAAACTGGTTAGCTGACCGGCAAAAAAATAAACTTAACAAGAACCAGCCAAAGTTGAGCGAGGAGCCACGGAACCCCTGAAGTCTTAACCCCAACTTACTTGAGCATGACGAATGGCTTTGTTGAGTTACCACCACTTGTCCCAAGGATTTTATTAAAAATTCCTTAGACACAGGTGCAGTTTTTTGGGGAAAACTTTTTTCAATATGCTTTTTGGCAAATAATTGGATGGATGGTTTTCAGCCCGCTTTTAACGCTGATAAACCTGTTGTCGCAGATTAAATATTAATGGCTCCCATTAATATCATCTTTGGCCGTCCGAAGCCAATAAAATGTGCCTAATGTCGCGATATTTATGGCAAGGAAGTTAATTTATGCTCGAAGCGAAACGAATTACCAATCGATACTAGAACTTGGCCATGTAATTACGCAATGATTTATCAGGCAGCTCTTAATAAACGCTTTTACTGTTGACTTTTCAGGGAAAAACACTTTTAATGGAAACCTTTTAAGAGCGGAAGTAGCTGCGATTTGATATAGTCGTCGCCAGTCCCCCGATAGGGTTTACTTTGCGGTTTTTCTGATTGACAAGACATTGGAGCAGGTGAAAAACAATAGCGGCCCGGAGGTAACTGCTCAGGTGGCACAACTTACGTGTGCCGTCTTCTTAATGAGAAAACAAATATCAAGGTACTTGGATGCATAAATCGATTTATTTCAATGGTTAATTTTTCCGGGAAATTGAGGTTTTAATGGGAAAACATATTGTTGATACATAAAGATTTTATAAAAAATGAAAATTACTCAGTACTAATATGAATAAATTTATATTTTTATATAACATTCGTTAAACATTTATTTACATTATATTTTCAAGTTTCTGTAATCATTTAAAAACTTCAAATATGGAGTTGGGCCAGAATTTAGTTTCTTATGCAAAGAATTCATTTATAATAACCCTTATTTCTCAACCTTTTAATTATTCATTATAAAAGTATTAACATAATTAGGTAAATAGAACACCTAATTCCCTCTTATTTTGCCAAAAGCATCCAATTTAACTTTGGAAATTAATTCGGAGTAATGCAATCTAAAAATTGTAAATCAAATTGAAGGATCTTCCATCAAACTTACCCTATGCACGGCGGCATGTAAATCGAAAATTACCAGAAATTGTCACTTTACATCACGCCCGCTGCAGGACCAATAAATCATGCTGCACACACACACCACACACACACACTGTCACACGGAAGCACAACACACACACTCACTTGCTCTCTGGCCTAGTGTCCTTCGGTTAGTGTGTGTGTGTGTGAATATTCAAATCAGTGAATAAATGAAATTTGTTACAGGACTCGCGGCACACTCGCACACACACCCCACTCACGCACTGAAATTGAGTGGCGAAATTTCAAAGGGTGTCCGTCGTCGTGTATTTAGCAAATGAACCGTTAATTTAGTTGCCAAAAGGTGCCCAGTTTTCCCGGGTTTTTCCCGCTGTGTCCTGTAATATTTTCGAATTTGCGAGCGGTAATCAAAGTTTACAAACTATGCGATCAGCGAAACGGAATTAAATTAAGTGCCAGATGAATGGCGACTTCATTACGAGTTCCACACACTTTGGCTGCCAATTAACTCGCCCGAATTTAATTAAGGCTTAGGTCCTGATTTGTGGCGCGCACTAGATCTCAATCTTGACGAGCAGGCAATCCTCCGCATACGGTTTCAACTACGTAAACGAGTCTTTTGAGTAACACTCAGAGTGCTGCGAACAGGGCCACCCGTGCTGCCTGAACTTAAAACGAATACTGAAGCCACCGGAATCGCGCGCTGAAAGTTAAACCCGAAGTCAAGAACGGCTCGAGCTTCAAGCGTTGGCCAACAGTGTTGGCAATCATTTTCCAAAGAACAAATGATTGAGGGAACTTTACAAGAAATTTTATGAAACACAATTATCAAAGATTTAAATATTTCAGTTATCACTATTACCTTTTCTTTAATTAGGTTCTTGGACAGTTTTTTATAGATTGAAAATGATTGACAACGCTAATCGTGACCTATATTTGCTTTAAGTTTTTATATATATTAAAATGTATATAAATATTTAAGAATATTCAAAATACTATATATTATTGCGTTATTTTTGATTCTATTAATTTATTTAACTTTAATTAAAGTCAAATTTGCGGAAATATCCCAACTTGTCCACACTGGTTCGAGCGACAACGGTCAGTGGAACTTGCAACATGTTGCATGGTGCTTTCAAACCCGAGTTCCACCTCGGCGATTCTATGTTTTTTGAGTCCGAAGCTCTGATCTTGGCTTTTGAGGCTCTGTTTACTTTAGAAGATGCATTGAATATTTAAAATATATTAACAAATTTTTTTATGACATTAAATAGAAACAGCAAAAAGCTTTTTAACTGCATATTTTATTTAGTATATAATTAACATAGTATTATTAAGGAGAAAAGGAATCAGACACTATAAATCAATTGAAATATTAAACTCTCTTAGATGAAGTTATCGACTAATAAATCTGACAAATCTAGTTGTTAACACTAGTTAGTATAAAACTATTCCACATTTTTATTGAATCATTTTTATTTCAACATATTTCCAAAGCTGTCAGACATAACAAACCTAATTTTTAATATTTATACTCTTTAATATTAGTTCTTTTAACAAAAGAAAGAAGAACTGCAACAAATATTATAAGCTTAGTGCACAAAAAGTTATGTGTGAAGTTGTCGGCAACAAAAGTCTTCTTTTAAACCCACTAGAAGTTTTGTGGTTGTTTAATCTACATCTGGTGTGGTAAGAAATATGTTCAGGTGGCTTCTTTAGCCTCTTGTTTGAATTTTTGGTGCGAGCAACTCACCTGCTAAATGCTTAAAGTAACACCACCATAAGAAACTGTTGCTCTGTCATAACAATAAAAAAAATGTATAAAGAAACTTATCCGAAGTGCAACATCCTCTTGGGGCGACAATGCAGTCGAAAAGTTTCAGTAGGAAAACTAAAAGTCAAATATAAGATGGCAGGCAACTTTGGCCATAAAACATGGCACAAAGCCGCACACACACACACACCACACACACACACACACGAGAGCCGGAAAACCACCGAAAAAAAGAAATGGAAACCTTGAAGAGGTGGGGCCGTGGCAAAGCAATGAAAATTCCGACCTACCGCAATAAATTCCGCGGGAAAAGCAACGCGAGAGATGCCAAAATGAGAGTGAAATGGCCAACACACACACTCGCACGCACACTGGGCAAAGGAAAAGGAAAACACACCCCTCGGAAAACCTCAAGAAGGCACAACGCACACAGGGACACCTCAGGCACGGCGCCATAAATCGCGCTTAGCCAAAACAAAGCATAGCATCGGGGTCCAGGACATCAGACATCAGGATTCCGATTCAGATTCGGAATCAGTTTCGGTTTCTGCTGTGGACCGAAATCCTTTGACCTGACACAATGCTCCACATTCGATGTTTTTGGTTCGAGTTGGAGTTGGAAGTGCGCCTGCGCCTTGATGTCCTTTGAGCGGCCGAACAGCTGTTCTAGGCGAGACCCTTACCTAGGACAACATCTGCATCCTTTGGGGAGTTAGTCTAAGCGGGCCTGTGGGCTAGATCTCTAGAATTTTAGAATCCTTACAACTACTACCTATGTTTTAAATTTATTTTATTTTTTATTCTGGCCTTGTTCATTCCTTAGGTAGAGCTTAGTTGTTAATGCTCCGCCAAGGATAATGGCTTCTAACAGCAACACATTTCTCCAGCATTCCTTGATACGATTATATTAAGCTGAGTACACAGGGGAAATTAGTATAAATTTGAAATATTTCAAAATATCTGCAACTCACCAATGATCTAGGATCTTTTCGCTTTACATCTCAGCGTTGACACGTACTCGAGCAGCTCCTACACGGACTACAGCAAGGACTTCCGCCATCCAAGGGGACCAGGCAGCCGGGCGGGCAGGGTCCAATGTAGAAAGGGTCGAAACTGCAGACCAGCATTAAAACCATTTTGAAAATGTAATATTCAAACGGCACAGAAAGGGGAAAAACTCTTTTTATCTTTAGCTGGGTACGTCCCGCCTTTGTGGGTGAGAAAGGATTGATTAAATTTAGAATCCGTTAAAAAGAACATTTTGAAAACGTACTGAATTTTTTTACTGCTGATGAAACGCGTTGAAGTTATTCCTTGGCTTGGAATTTTGAATTTAGTTGCTCATACTATTTTTTTTTTTTTTTTTGTTGTGTGTTCAGGCTAAACTGTAAGGACGGAATGAGCTTTCTATGTTTCGATCACATAGAGCTAAACAGAAAATTGAAGTTAGAGCCAAAGCCTACTAGGGATTAGAAATATCTTTTTAAATTTTAAAACTTAAACTTATAGTTTGATTCTTTATCTGGTTAGCCAGGGGAATTACTTCTCATCGGAGTGATTTGCGGTAAATGCCTCTGGATTCTTGGTTTGATCTTCGCAACAGCGGTGCGCATGAACAATAAACCTTAATAAACTTGTCTATAAAGAATAGTATCGAAATAGGATATACATATATCATATTTATATCCTTTTACAGAAAAATCCAAAACCAAAACCTCTTATTTGTATACTCTTTTCTATTTCTTTTAAAATCCCAAGTAAATAGGAGAGCCAAAAAATATACAAATATATATCCTTTTACAGAAATATCTAAAACCAAAACCAACCTATTTGTATACTCTTTTCTTTTTCTTTCAAAATCCCAACAAATGCCTTTATTATAACCCTTTTTAAAATAAAAAAAAAAAATATTAGTTTTTCCTTTAAGTTTATTGCCTGAAAACATTCTTTCGTTTGGTAGGGAGTTTTGCGTTGTTCGCGTCTGCAAGGATTAAAATTTATAACAGTAACACATTTCTCCAGCAATTCTTAACAGGAACTTTGGTTTTAAGCTGGGAAAATAGTGAAATAAATACCATTTATAAATCTCAAAATATATCTTAATAACTCACCAATGATCTGCGACCAATTTGCTTCTCAACTAAGCGGCATCTCACCAGCCGCATGGACAGGAGCTGCAGCAGCCACCACAGGGCCCACAGCCACCGCAAGGACTGCAGCAAGGACCGCAGCCAGGACTGCAGCAGGGGCTACCGCCAGTCAGGGGACCAGGCAGCCGGGCGGGCAGGGACCCACATAGAAGGGATCGAAACTACAGCACAGCATAAGAACCATCTTGAGAGTTTATTAAATTGGGATCGTGCTGGAAATAGCCTGACTTTTTTAGGAGAGAAATTGTGACACAGTGCACTTTTATACTTTATTCCAAAATCTTACTATAATTTTTAACTGCTGAAGAAACGCGCTAAATTATTCCTTGGTTTTAAATTTAGAACTTAATTTTTCATAGTTTTTTGTTCTTTATTCTACGAAAGCGAAAGAGATGTGTTCAAGCCGAACTTCAGGAATAGACTGAATCTCAATGCTTTCGAACTACAAAGGGCCGACAAAAATGTGAAGTCTCAGACCCATCGCCTACTTGGGACTACTACAAATTTTGGAGATTTCAAAGATGAAAGCCCTTGGTTTCTGTCGCCTCTATTACTCCTCTCCCGGGGGATCCGCCCACGTCAGCGTGTCATCTTGGTGTTCAGGTTCCTTCTTCGTGGCAACATCCTTATCTTCTTCGCTGGGCTTCCTTAGGCTCGGCAGTCGGGGCAGGTGTGGTCCAATGACGGCGCAGGCTTTGCTTCCGATGCTTTGGACTGCCGAGCAAGTGGCGTTTATGTAATCACCCTCCAAGATTGGCTGCTCCCCCTCGGCCGAGGTCAGCTGGTCCACCACAGGTCCGCCGCGGGTGACTAGGTTGGAGATATTGGCGCTGGTTTGGTCCGACACCCGGCCACTAATACACGACACTGAGTTAGCCAATAGCACGATCATGGCCACCACGCTCGCCACTCCGATGGCTAAGTGCACCTGATCCATTTCTAGGAAGAAGCGGAAGCGGAAGCGGAAGCGGGATATGGAGGAGGATCGATTTTAGGTTTCACAATCGACCAGGCTGACATTAGATACAAAGGCAACTCAATAAGTTATCAGCCTGTAACAATATGGTGTTCAGGTGTCGGCGAGAGCTCTTTTTGCACTCTTAGACTTCAGGTGTGTTATCATTGAGCATTGAGCACTTCGCGGGGTGATCTGCTAGTAAGGATTCATGCAGGATAATTATTATTAGTCGAGGTTTCTTGTGGTTAGAAAGATCTCGAGACTGTTACATTATAATTATTAAATTAGGTTTTTAAACGAATAGAGACAGCCACGGATGCCACAAAAGTAGCTTCAGTAGCTTCAGATATCTAAGTGCATTCCTTAATATAGAATACGTTAATGAACAAAATAAAAAAAATCCTTTAGTTAATAGCAGCATCTTTTTATTCAATTTTAATTCGTGGAATCTTGATAAAGTATAAGTATAATTTGTATATAAACAAGATGAAGACTTCTTTCAAGCCATTCTGCAATTTATTTCTTGACTTGACTTTTCGAGTGAAGACTAAAATCAGGCTTAGTTTGGTAAACATTCTTCACTTATTTTACTATATACCAAAGATGAAATATCTTCGCGATGTATTTTATTTTCTATATAAACCGATTCCCAACAGTTTTAAAAGGAGATTCCAATTAAGACCCAGCTAAGCAGCGTATTTATTTCATATTAGACACATATCGGTAGCATTTTGTGTGGATTTAGGTTCTCCCTCCGGTCTTTTGTTCCTGACTCCCCACTTATCCGAAACTATTTTGCTCCCTTTGCTATTTCTGCTCCTGTTTTTGCTCCTGATTTTGCTGTTCCTGCTTCTGCGGCTCCTGATTCTGCTGCTCCGGTTTCTTTTTTGACTCCCGGGCGGGATTGCAACAGGGAAGCTGCGACTCCGCACTGCATTCCGGGTCGCAACAGGGCGGATCGGGGCCGATGTAGCCGGGATTAAACATGCGAGACATGCTGCAGGTCCTCAACGGAGCAGGGAACACGGAATACGCTTCTCGACCGGATTGCAGCGGAGGCAGGTGTCCTGGGTTCTCTTTTATGGATTTTCCCGAATTTACATAGATGCTAACAGGGTGAAATTTTTAAGCAGAGTGAACCAGGGGAGGCAGGCCCGAAAACTTCCTCATTTCCATGGGGGATTAGAACACAAAAGAACTGGATAACTAGATGCTCGATACGGGGGAAGAGCTTAAAGAGCTATAGTTAAGCGGATTGCATATTGGAGGGGAAGCTACTAATTAAACAGTCACTGGATAAAGTCATGAAATATATTGCGGAAAGGGAAAGTTAACTATATTAATTCAGGTAACAATTAATCTTCTAATAGAACTAAACAAGTGACACAAAAACGATTTTTGGAAAAGCAAATTACATTGCACATATTTTCACAAATGTTTTTGGGTAAGACAAACCCTTCTCAGTGCTTTTCATGATATTTACCATATGGGTAATCGAACAACAGACATATTGACCTCCCCAAAACACACAACACAATACCTCCTGCCTGGCCATGGTTAGAGAGCATGCGGAATGCTTATAATTATTTCATAATCGGGCAACACTTCACATTTATGGTGACAAAAGCCTGCGGATAGACAATAGCCCCCTGCAGGCTATTCCGCCGGGGCTGCCACATCGAAATTGGGCCACACAAAACGGCCGCAGGCGCAAATACGGAATTTAAGTTGAAATTAATGAATAATTAAGCTGCGCCGGGCGCAGACGTTGGCCCAGAGCGGAAATGCGGCATTTGCATAACTAACACAATGAACTACATACTATGACTCTGGCCGTTCATAAATTAGATATGCAAATGCAAATGGAAAACTAACGGCACTGCTGCCTTTGTCAATTAATCAATCAATCAACGCAGCAGAAGGCCAGCCGCGGAAATCACTTGCCCAGCGTCTGCCGTCCGTCGTCCAGGAACTCCACACGGAAAGCTGCATCTCCATCCATTCATCCATCCATCCATCCGCCCATCCTTCCCCATCACGCATGCCAATTTTCCGTACCACGGTTTCTGATTGCCCGCTAAGTTCGGAGCCCATCCGAGCCCCATCATCATCGGAGCAGTTGCGATCCGCCAGTTTTAAGGCGATGGCAGAGTCATTAGCATCAAAGGGCAACGCAACGGTGACACGACCAGCGACCCCTCCTGGCAGCTGATCCGCACAGTGGGCTAGAATCACGGAAGTGTATTGAAGGGGAAAGCCCAACATTGATTACTGGTTATCAATGTCACATAGATGTTATGGATATTGATATATTTAAATTTAATATCTATATTGAAATTATCGAACAACATTTTGTCTCTCGCTTATAAAACAGTGAAGGACTCATTTCCGACCCTATAAACCATATACATATATTCTTGATCAGCATCAACAGCTGAGTCGATTTAGCGGTAAGAAAAATTTTCGAAATTAATTTTCAAAATTTTGTAAGGAAAAATTTGTCAAAAAAATTCTAAAATTTTTATAAATTTGAAATTGATATGCAGAATTATTAACCTAACAAAAACAATTTAGGAAAGCTTAGTTAGCTTAGTTATGACTTTTTTAAAATTCGATTATTAGAAAAAATTGCCATTTAAAAATATCGACTTATTCAAAGAATGCAAAATTTGAAGCTTAGTTATGATGGACTTGGGATACGATCTTATAATGCAATTTTAAAACTGCATAGGTAGATAACTTCAGACTCCCAAAGCTTGTTTCCTTTCCTATTGTACTTGTATTATTTATATTTAATATTAATTAAAATATTTATTTAAATAATTTCTTAAACTAAAACCCACTGTTCCACTTCGACGTCGCGTTCAATGTCGCCTGCTGCAGCCGTCAAAGTCGTGTGCACTATTTGTGTAATTTATATTCAAAGCGCAACGCGATGCGGCGAGTGCGTTGCGTAGGTGGGTGTGGATGGTGTGTGTGCGTGGCGTGTGTGCATGGTGTGTGTACTGGTCAGCTCTCTTCTGGGCGGCACTTCCAGTTCCACTTCCCCGCCCTGCCTGCCAGTGTAGTCGCGCGAACTGCTTTTAAGTGGCGATGGCGATGTTGGTCAGCGGTGGCAGCAGTACTTTTATGGGGTGGAGTGGTCCCAGGGAATTTAAGGGATTAAGGGAAGGGCATACAGACCTCACAGTCAGCTCTTTAGGTCTATTTAAATATGTAACTCTGGGCAGGAAAATAAATAATGCAGAAAGCTAATGGTCAAGAGACTTATAGTGTGGTCAATTTTTAAGCAGTTGCAATGAAAGCGCTAACTAAGTGCTTCCAATAAATGGGAACTCAAGTTTTGAATAAAATATATACAAGGTTTAAATTATAGGAAATAATACCAATTAGTATGTAAATATTTGTTTTAAATAAATGTAAAGGTATTTAACGTGAGTCTGCTATACCTCCTGTGATAAGAACATTTATTTATATATTTCTAATAAGCATTTCCCCTTAAGTGCCAGTGCATGCCCTTAGCTGGCAACTATCCACACTTTGACTTTGTCTATCCAACTTCCGTCCATTTCTTCGGTGTAGAAGGAGGAGGAGTCGCCGCGGTTTCTGTTTTCAATAATTCAAGTTCGAACCCAAACAAAACTCTGGACACGCGCAGGGCCACTTGTCCGTTTCGCTGGTCGTAACTGTATGAGAAATGTGCCGGGGAACTGACAAAGTGACCGGAAGATGATACTGTAATAAAAAATAGAGACTCGCACACCATCGTCGAATGTATGTTTGCCTAGGAAATAGAAAACCAAGTACTGGAAATGAACATGAACAATGTTTTATATGCTCTGTGAGTTGTTGGGCCTTCTTCTTCTACTATATCTAACTATGATTTTTTCATGCTTTTCGTTGGCCATTTATTTACAAATGAACAATATTTATGGCCTCTTTTTGAAAGAGAATATATATTTATATACATTTTTTTGTTGGTTCCCCTCCTGCGGTGGGGCCAGACTTCCGTCACAGAAACAGCATGGAAACGATCTGTTCGTAGCGCTCATTATGTTGTGGTTTTATTTCGGTTTTATGCGCTCAGCATACCAACAATTGATTATGAATTACTAACTCTGCGCGGCATGCAATCAGAAATGGTTTTGTTGAATAAATAATTCTAATTTGCCAGCAATTATGGGCTGCCAAATAAGCTGAGCCCGCCGTGATATGTTTTCGATGGTCGCCGAAAGTGTGAATTGAGGCTTTTCCATCACACTTAATGGCTGTGTAATTTAAGTTTCCTATCATTTTGGATTTAATTAATTACTGTTGATGTCATTTGTTCTAAATTCATGGAAGTTGCGACCATAACAACAGTATTTACAAACAGTTTAAAGGGTTATTATACAAGGGAGCAGACTTCATTTTATATATTTATTTGTAAGTACTCAACGACCCTTGATTTATCCCTATTTAATATTCCACATATGCCTGCGATTAGAATCTACATCTCTTTAAGCCAATTGGATTTATGGCAGCATAAGTAGCGAAAGTCAGAGCAAAACCCTATTATTATTTCCAGCAACTCGCAATTAGTGTTGTCAGGGCCAGAATTTATGATGAGCAATTGCAGATGCGGCAAGTAAAACAGGAACACTAAACGGCGGCACTTAGGCGATCATAACTTTGCCCGTGATAAATCGAACTGGAATCGCCTGCAGAAATTCTGGCCATGATGCAAAGCGAATCTCTATAGACTGGCCAAAAGGAAGGGGTTTAAGCCAAGTGCCTGGGAGTGAATCCGAGCAGCTGCTGCTGCTGCCCTGAAAGGCGAGACCGCCGAATGAATTGGACTGTCGTTGTCTTGGCAATCAGCGCTACCGGGCATAGAAAGTTAACACACCCAAAACCGGCTTCGGTTACAGTCGATGCAGGCAGCAGTTGAAGTTTTCATTTGAGGCACAGAGAGAAAAACTAGAGACTAAAGATCCTACTTGCAAAGCAACTATTCTTTGATATAGCTTTTAATACATTGATAAAGATCTTGAATAGATTGCATCTGCAGAAAGCTCACATCCTATCTTAAAACATAAACTCATCCCAGAAACTCTTACTTTAAAACATCATTTATATATACGCTATTAAAGTTTAAAATTAAATTCTTTAAAAGCTAATACAAATTATTTCACGTGGAGTTGGCAGTTGCAAGTTGCCTGCTGCCAGTTGTCGCTGCCGCAAGAAACTTGCCAGGATGGACTGCGGCGGATGTGTGTTCTTAGGGTTTGAGCCAGGAAGGAGGAGGGAACTCCACAGAAGAAGATGGGGGATTCTAAGCGTTTAGCTTGGCTTTTGCATCGCTTCGTTGGCCCCGCAGAGCGAAGCGAGCGCATCCAACTTAAAATTGCCGCAATTGCGTGTCGACCACAATCTTAACCAGCCGAGGCAGGCGACACAAGGAGGCGAAAAACTTATAGCCCACGGGAGTGCACTGCACTAAATAATTTGTATTTATTTAAAACAGTTTACGATACACAAAACCCTTTAAAGTTATTAATTGTGCAAGATTGAATTGCATTTAGAGGCCTTCTATAATAAGGGAAGTATACTCAAATTTTTCATATTCTTAATTCTTTAAGGAAACCACCTTACAAGTATTATGAGTTACATAAAAAGTACCTGTTAAAGTACATAGTTATCTATGCACAAAACCCTTTAAAATTAATAATTGTAAAATGTTGAAATACTTTTAGGGGCCTATATAAAAAGGGGAACCTATTTGTAAATGTATACTCAAATATTTGTTATTCTTAATTATTTAAGGAAACCGCCTTAAAAGTATCTGTTAAAGTACACATTTAATTGATTTATAGTTCAATTCCCTATATTCCATTACCACATAGATTTCCTCTCAGTGTTTATTTGAGACTTTAAGTGTAACAGGCACTGGGTGTTGGCCCAAGTTCCGCCTCCCTTGCCCCTCGACCATTTGCTCCTGCCACTACCTGTCTGTTTCCTTTTTGTTTTTAATGAATAAGTTGGAACACCTGCTCGTCGTTCGTCTCCTGTTGAGATCTCCGTTCGCTTCAGAGTCTGGCAAACTCTGGTTGCGCTGCTCAAGTGTGACGGCGCTTACGAACTTATATGTGTTCTATCTTGCCATCGTGCTTGGCCATTGTTAATGCCCTTTCCGTAAAGGG